GGTCTGACTGCCCGACGAGCTCTGTCCGGCGGGGGCTTGACCTGTCCGGTGGGGGACTTAATCCCCCTGCCCCCGCTGGCGCCGCCACTGCTCCACTTCCAACAGTTTGAACGACACCCGACCATGCCCGCCTTTGCTTTCGTCTGCCGGGGACACCGCTCCCTCCTACCCGTCGAGTGATTGAATCAAAAGAAATGAAATTTTCCCTTTTATTAAATATTCGGCAATTAGCATGTTTTCTAAATTGCAGTAGCTATTATTCTTCAGAATAGTCTTGAAGTGGCGGGTCGGGTAAATAAAAAATGCCAATTAATTAATTGTTGTTCCCATGTATTTACTTTATATAATTCATGAAAAAAGACTATACAGATAGGCCTATACCGTAAAACCTCGAATTGAAGGGGATTATTATTATTATTATTATTATTATTATTATTATTATTATTATTATTATTATTATTATTATTATTATTATTATTATTATTATTATTATTATTTTATTTTTTTATTTTTTATTTTTTTTGTGGACATAGGATGTACTTCTTTTCTGAGATGTACTTCTTTCGAGGCTGCTTTTGGAAAGTAAAGAGGGGTGTGGGCCTTAATTCTTTTCTATGTGCTGTAAATTTTGTGAATTTGTACAGTACTACCGTATGAAGCAATAAAGGCCACTGAAACTTCAATCTGTATCATGGAGTGTATTTAACTGGCATTAAATCACCAAAACTAATGTATATACCAAGTTTCAATTTATTTTGTTTTATGAAATTCATGTACAGGTACTGTCTCTCCGAAAGAAGCATATGCTAGCCTCTTTTATAGTCTTTTCGAAGGGGCTTCAATTCAAGATGGGCTTCATCTCGGGATTAAGCCCATTGGGCTTCAATGCAATAATAATATTTAAAAACAGCTTGGGTGGCGCCGCAGGATTTGCCCGTCAGCGGGGCCGAGGTCACCGACGAGGGGGCCGATGCCGCCTCGACGAGGGGTCATATTTCCCGACGAAAATGATGTAGGCGTGGTCGAGCTTCGATTAAATTGTTTCGAAAGTGGCCCCCGAAAATATTAACAATTTAGGGGTTTCAAGGGGTTATTTAATCGATTTTAGAGTCTACTAATATGTAGAAAATACATATAATTTTTTTTTCTCCCCGACGAATTTTGTTTTTCTCCCCGACGGGGGGGGGCAGCACTCCCCGATGAGCTGTCTCTTATACACATCTAGATGTGTATAAGAGACAGCTCCCCGCCCGCCCTACCACTGGTGCCACCCCGTGTTTTCCTAGTGTACATGTTGATGCATTATAAACTGCTCTCTGATGTAATGACCGTTTCGTACTACTGTACTAAATTATTCGCACCAGTTGAGATAGCCCACTTGGGCCACAAAATGCGGTTCTGTTTCGCTCGAATAATCAACCGCTCGAGTGGGTTTTGCTGGTCTAAATACACCGGCTAAAATTAGCGACATTTTTATGTAAAAATAAACAATATGCAGAGGAATATATCTAATTGCGTGCTGCAAGTTTGCAGAAAGCAAACTTTGCAAAGCATCCCAAAGCCAAGAATAAATAACGTGTCGTATATTGCAGCAAGAAGAGGTCTGCATGCACTTCGGTCAATCAGGTACAGCGAGTACGCCCACCCTGAATTCTAGGTCTCACCCGGCTCGCACGTGCGTAGGTAGAGAAGCCTGGTGGGCATCTAGGCTAGGCCTAGTGAGCATTCAAAACCCATCCAGTTCGTAAGGATAGGACTAGGTAGAGCTAGTGTAAAATGATTATATAAGGACTAGGCATAGCCTAGGCCTTTTTAGGATGAATATGTTTTTGATCGTGTAGGCCTTAGGCCTAGAAAGAATGAAGAAATAAAAGTTTTAATGATTCCATGGTGCAGCGCTAACCTGTCTGTCTGTTAGGCTGGCAAGTTTATGGTAAAGTTGAGAAATGAATCATCAAGTTATCGAATGGAATGGTACATAATCTAAGAAAGAGATGATTAATTCTTGGGAAGAAAAGGTTTAAAGGACAAGGTCATGGAAATTTTTTTTTGTTCCCTTGGAACTTGCCGTTAATCAAAACAATCTATGATTGAAGTGGCTGCTCTAGTTTCAGATGTTTTTTGATTTGTATAGCACGCATATAAAGAAAAATGGATGACATAATATATAATAATATCAGAGAGTGTAGTATTAAACCATAGCCTACACTGGCCTACACTGTCATTTTGTGTCTGTAAAAATAAAATAATTTAATAAAATAATAATTTTAAAAGTATTTATAATTTATTTAACTATATGAGTTCTGCAAATTTTACAGATTTACTGACCAATCAAGAAATTCCTCCAAACCAATCATATTCAGGTTGTCTAGGCGACTATATTCAAATGAAGGTGAGTTTATCGTAAAAAGAGTGAAACTCGCTATTATGAAGAAAGATGTTCAAAGCCAATGTTGAGTTTGATCTTTATAAAATAATAATATTGTTTGTCCATCAAAGAAAATTAAATTAATAAATATATATATTTTAATTTTAATTTTTTTTTTTTTACAGACTTGCCTAAGCATTATATTATTCCATTACCTGCTCTTTCTCCAACAATGGAGATGGGGACAGTAGTGAGGTGGGAGAAGCAAGTAAGTAATATTCATCCTTTGTCCACATTAAGAATATTTTATGTATTTTTGCCTCTTTTTAGAGAATTCATTGTTTCACCTCGCTAGCTGGTATTAGTAACCAATGCCGTAGCCAGCTATTGGGACAGTCCCACACAATTTTTCTAATGGGTCCACAAAGAATGGGTCCGCATTTTTGAAATTGGGTCCAAATTATGTAATTCTATGCATAAAATGGGTTCAATTTTTGAAAAATGGTTTCAGATTTCTTATATTTAGCTTAAAATGAGTAAAATTTATCTAGATTTTTCATATTTTTGCGTAAAATGAGTCCACATTGTTCAAATTTATGTGTGAAGTGGGTCCACCCTGATATTGTCCCACACTGTTTGGAAATCCTGACCACGGCGTTGTTAGTAACGTTTGGTCCATGTCAGGAGGCACCTAATTCGAGAAAAGATCCAGACTTCACCAGTTCTAACCGGTGCATATAAACACAGATCTCTGGTTGGCAGTGACTACCGTGTAACCCCATACTTCAGTTTGGGTGCTAGCTTGGTGTTTCTTTGTTTTTCTTGCTTTTTTATTAAATCCATTTTTTTTTTGTTTTTTACTTACCTTTATCGAGTGCATAGAGAGCTTGTTTATTTGCACTATATAATTACATTTATTATTCTATTATTATTATTAAAAGGAACATGAACAACATTCTTGTAAGTAAACCATCAAATGTATGTACTGTTTTTAATGTTGATAATAGATCGAAACATCACAAACAATACATACATTTAATAGTTTACTTACAAGAATTTTGTCCATGTTCATACATCACAGAAACCAAATGAAACTATTTGAGATTATTAAAAGGGGTAATACATTTCTTATACCAGGTGATGTATATACTGTAGCATTTGCCTGGTAAAACTTTACTCCTAAATATTTGAGTAGCAACACTTACAGTGTGCAAGCTGTTAATGAAGGAATATGAGTAATGAAGGAATATGAGTTTGCTGCCCTCTGTAGTTTCCTATATTTTATTGCAGAGAGGCAGGCAGTTTTATCACAACAACATTGTTATGTTTCCATTTTGTAGAATTTAAACTACATGGTAACCTTTATTTCCTAATTTAACATATAGCCCCTGACTTTAGGTCATTGGTAATGGAGAGTTGAACAGAAAACTTTTTATGGTGTAAGAATAAATAAATTTGTAAATTTAATCTACCGTATTATATATACCCTGTTTTGAATAAACGCCCCTTGAATACACTCCCCCTCCAAAGCCTCATTTAGAATAAATGTCTTCTTTTATTTAACATCCTGGGCATTTATTTTTTCCTCGGATAAACGCCCCCTAAATTACTCTAATCAAAACTAAAGAAAGCAAAGTATTTTTTCTAATCAGTTTGGGATCATTGAGACTATAAATGCAATAACACATTTTGATGGTAATTATGTGTTGCGGTTTTACATAAACAGTGAAATTAAGGAGTGTTTATTGAGTATATATATACTTATTTTACGCCAAAAAAACATAAACGCTTTTCCTAGAATGAATGCCTTGAATATACGCCCCCTCAAAACTCTTCTCAATGTTAAACACCCTTGGCATTTATTCAAATAAATAAGATATTCATTTTCCACAAATATGTAAACTAAATTAAACTGCATTCACCCTAAGACTTATACTCTATAAATTTACCTTTGAGATAAAAATATACAATGATAATGAGATCCATATTAAATTATTATATTTAAACACAAATGACCAGAACCGTCCATATGGGGTCTTCCGTTATTTTCAAAGTAATACAAAACATACTCTTTTTTTCTGTGACCTCTTTCCTGTAACATAATAAAATTTAAAAAAAGAGTGCATAATCTGTTGACCCCTCCCACTATTATATATTTTGTACTGTCATTAAAATTATTAAAAAAAAATTGATTACCTCTAAAGTATGCTCTAATTTTACTGTGTACTGACCCTGCAATGAAAGACCACCATTAAAATACCACTTTTCTGTGCTCCCATTAACAAATTTCTTTTATCTTTGTTATTCTAATTAGAGACCAAAGCTGCTAAAGACCATTCAAGCCCCAGTCCCAAAAGTGGTCTTTAGTTGGAGGGAGACCTCTATTTTCAATTCTTTGATCTTTGTTTACTTCCTTACTGATGACTCTAGTGCTATGATTATTTTTTTTTGACATTTGAAATAGTACCTGTCAAAGTAAGATTTATGATCTTTTCAGGCAGGTGACAGTCTCAGTGAAGGTGATGTATTGTGCGAGATTGAGACAGACAAGGCAACAATGGGCTTCGAAGCACCGGAGGAGGGATACTTAGCAAAGACCTTTGTCGAAGAGGGTACAAAGGATGTCCCCATCGGAAGGGTAAAAGCACCGATTTATCACTCTGTCTACCAAGTATTACTTAAGATTTAAAAAAACAAAAAGAAGCAAAAAATCACACCAAACTAAATCATGAATAGTTTTATTATCATGGTTGTGCGGCAGGTTTGAGGCTTGGCGTAAACAATGTATTCCTTTGAGTGCTATAATAAATTTAGGTTGTGTTATTACATTTATTAGGCCAGAGCAAAAAGAAAATTACTTTCATGTATAAAGAGAGAAAGAGGAGGCCCAGTTTTGGTTAGCAGATTCTTAGATAATATTAAGATTTGATTTATTGGGACATTAATCTGATCTGGACAGGCCGAAATAGAGAAATATGAAAAAAGTGTACTTCCTGTCTTATACCTTTTGAACATTAAAAAAAAAATTATTTATTAATGATTAATAGTGATATATCAGTATTAAAAATACAATTTCCTGAATTAATTTGATATTTAATTACCAATTGTGTAAGGGGCACCCATCCATATTTCCTCAGAATCATGCTATCTAATTTTATTTTTTGAACTGAAACTAGAGATATAGTGATTTGAATATTTATTTTGGTTTTTTATTTATACTTCTTATCAAAACAATATATATACTGTATACAACCAAAAATGTACCATTGTGTATCAGTGAACCTGATACATGTTTCCTGTTTATAATTACTTGGTATGTTTTGTGTTTTTTTTTGTAATTTATTTACTTATTTAGTTATTTATTAAAAATTTGTCATGATATATATATATTGACCAGTTGCGTCACTAGACAAAACACACAACAACAATATGATAAAATGTATAAAATATCATATAAAATATAATAATAATAATGATATCTATATGTCTGTGCATTATGGGAACTTAAAAAGACCTCTTTTTTGGACTGGATTTCAATTTTTGTGCAATTTTAAAACTTTCAGCATTTCGCAAAATTTTTATCTGAAATTTATGTTAAACGACAAAAACAGCTGTACTCAAGAATATAAATAATGTATTCTAATATTAAGAAATATTTATTATTGGTAATGTCAACTCATTATGACATGCTTTATGTCATGTTGAAGAGAGATGTACCAGTGCAGTGGTGGATTTAGAGGGGGGGGGGGGTAAGGGGCATACCCCCCCCCCATTTTTTTTTGTAAAAAAAGAATTGTGTAAAGTTTATCAGAAAATTGCCAAGGTAAATAGTAAAAATCAATCAAATATAACATCTAATTAATAAAGGTGCTAAAGATTTAAGGGAGTTTAACCCCCTTGCATCCCTACCAGAGGCTTTTTCCTGAGACTCCCACTCAGTTCGCACATCCACGCCCCCTCTTTCTTGCTAGGCTGGATCCGCCCCTGCAGTGTGTCAGACTTCCAAAATGACAATTTAATTTGTCCACCCAAACAAATTTGAAAAGCATAAAAATTCAAATTCTCTTTTATCCTTTATTCATGTTATATATGTTTGGAATAACATTTTACAATTTTATGTGTCTTTAAACACAAAAAAATATGTAAATTAAAGATTTACATAAGTATTAATATTGTATTAATAATATGGGGTATAGTACTAATGGAGCTTTTTACTAAGCCCTGCATCTTTTGTATTGCTGCTAAGATACTGGACTTTAAATAGCATAACATACATAACATGCATTCTTGGTTATTAATATTAATACCATATTTTGATTGGCCATTTGTTTCACAATTTTGATTCACACTCGGTAAATGAAACACAAATGTTCCCCGTTTCATTAATTTTCAAACAAAAATGATGTGGATATTCTGTGTAGTAATCGATTTGAAGGTTTGATAAAAACCGATTTACACCAGTTTTAGAAAGATGGGGAGTCCATCAGAAGATAGCAATCTTTTGGTATTATCTCAAATTGTTTTCGTTATATTATTAAGTATATATTATTTTCTTCAGCGACCATGCAAATCATGTTATTAATAATAGATTCCAATTTAATTGGGTCATACATGTTATGTAATCTTGGTGGTAAACTCAAAATCTATAAAAAAAATTTGCTTTTTTCTTTGCAATGTCAATAATTCTGATGAATTGATCACTAATTTCCGTATAGACTTATTGGATACTACATCATTTGTTCCACACACGATATTCAGTTCTTTCACCGTATCATTCATTTGGATACTACTTTCCCCTATCTTTGCAACATCAGTCCTACTTATAGATTGCTCTTTCATTATTCATTTATAAGAGAATCACCAAATTGTTTTTTAATTGATGTTTCATCTGATGAAGCTGGATAGAGCTAGCAAAAGCTTGTGTCATTAAACAAAATCATATTAGTCAACAAATGTGCTACCTCTTATTTATTTCATAGGATTTGACTTATTATATACAACTCCAATATTTACTTATAAATTTTTTCATCATAATTCTACTTTGTAGCTCCTTTGTATAATAGTTGAAAATGAGGACGATGTGGCTGCATTCAAAGATTATCCTGATACTGGCATGGTAACAGAGGGCGCTCCAGAAGCAAAGGTAAAATATAACTGATCATGTTGAGAAAGAGGATGAATAGGAGGATGATAATATTAAATGTTTTAATTTCACCCATCCAATCCCAGAGTGTAAAAAATGCTCAGGTCTCTTTAAATGTGGCAAAGACAAGCCAAACCAGTCACGTCGTCGCAAAAATGGATTTTGAGTTATAAAAGATAAGAGCTATAAAATGGTAAAAAAAAGTCATTCAAATCCAACATTTCCTTATGAAGTTAAAAGCGTTTAAACATACAGCTGTTTGAAGAACAATATATGAGAAATCAGCCTGCAAAGTTTATGATATCTGGCCTTTCTCATGCAGAAACTATCATGAAATCTTTAAAAAGTTTATTTTAACATTGAAAATAGGGAAAATAACAGCATAGCATGATGTATAGATATATAAAGTTTAGTTTATTGCAATAAAATAGATTTTTAAAAATTTCACATTCCAGCATGTTTTGGCTATTTTCTCTGATTTGACTGGTTTGGCTTGTCTTTGCCTCAAATAATGAAATACCACCCTCCCCCACCTAGTTTTTAAATTAAAATCATTATAAAAAAAGATGCGAGGAAAGAAAGAAAATTATATCAAACTTTTAAGTCTGAGAATGCCATTTCTAGCCATTTAGAGGTGCCATAATCATACAGTAAATTTTCTAAGCATGGTTGGTACTGAGGTTTTTACAGTACAGGAATTTTCAACACCCTAAAAAAAAAACTGTCTAAAAAGAATGTCTAAATTTTAATTTAGAATTATATTTTGGAAAAATAATTTTGTTTGAATGTACATTGCTAGTATTATAATTTAACAAAGATAAAAAGTAGTAGTTAGCTGTGATATCATGGATGGTGACAATGATGTTGATGAGGATAATATTAATGTACCATGGAAAGAGAATTTACATTTTACCTTGTTGAATGGACGGTACAAAGTTACATTTCCTGAGATTTTAAATACAACTTTCTCTCATTTCACATGCCTTAACAGATATATAATTACAAATTTTAAATACCAGATTGAAAGCTACTGGTGAGAAATATCCCTTATTTTTTTTGGCTAATAACATAAATGTAATTTGATATTAGATATATAATTTCTTTTAAACTTTCCGTGATGTTGCAGGCTTACTGTCAGGTGAAAAGATGGATTTAAGAGACACAAACATTGCATAAATCAGTGCATTGCTTTGCTGTATTTCAAAACAATAATTTATTAGCAGTGCATACATGTCCTTGATTTTAGTTTGAGTAATTAGTCACTGAATGAATCATGGAGTGATTTCGGAATAATTTATTTTTGTTTTTTCATATAACTAGGTAGCATATTTTGATGCTGTTTTCTCTAAGTATGGCAGATATTTGCTTGTGATCAATTTCTAAAGTGTGGTAATTTTTACATGTCTGACTTTTAACAAATTTACTTCCAGATCTAATTGGCAATAAATAACATACAGAGGAACAAGGGAATTGGAGACAATAAATTTTGACTCTGTTTTATAGATTAAGTTTTCAAAGTTTTTGAATGTTTTTTACTAATATGAAATTTGTTCCAAAATAAAATTTTTATGATGATGATGAGGATGATGACTATAAGTTTATCACAAAACCGATAGCCTACTACTACCGGGCTAAAATTTTGGAAATCTAGGGCTAGATATTTTTTTTGCAAATTTTTCATTTTTTACCAAGTAGGAGCCCAAAGATTTCAAAATCTCAGTGTGCTCTGGCAACAAAACTATTTTTTTGGCCTTATTAAATATCATACTGTAATATCTATTTCAACATATGACATTTAAATGACATATGTCAACTCCATCAACTCCACTAAAATGAAGAAAACTTTGAATTTATTTGAGCAACTCTCAACAGAGACCTCAGGAGAAGAATGGTTGTTGACAGCATCTGTAAGCAGATATGAGAGATAGAGATCTATGTCAAACTATTGAAATTTTATTCTTTTTTTGTACTAGGATTCATCTCCTCCACCACCACCTACACAACCAGCTGCACCTGTTTCTACACCACCACCGCCATCGCCACCACCTGTGGCAGCACCCCAACCGCCACCAGTCCGCCAACAACCAATTCAACCTGCATCATCAGGGGAAAGAGTTATTGCAAGCCCCTTGGCAAAAAAGATAGCTTCAGAGATGGGAATTGATTTGCAGGTACATTTTTTTATATATATATTTTTAATAAATTTGTTGTATAATAATGCTTATGACAATTATATAATAATATAAAAAAGAGAACATGATTTTTATTATTATTATCTTATCCTTTTTTTCATCGTGGGATTTGTTTAGTGCTTCCTATAATAATAAGAGTGTAATATTTCTATCATTTTATGTGTAGTGTGATGAGATTTGAAATATTATCAGCATTGGTTTCTAGGCCAAATATAGCCTGCCTCTAACTTCTGGGTCAGTAAAGCTTATGCTTACTTGCAAATAATTACTGGAATATTTATTGGTACCATACTTTCTGATTTGACTGCTTTGTTTAATAATAAGAATTTAATGAGTGACTCCTTCATGCCTCATTTAACCTGGATATATTTAGAAAATGAGCTGCATCTATTGTTTTTTAGACAAGTCATTAAATTTATCATCAATCCAGCAAGGAATAATACACCTCATTGCATTGTTTGTAGACTATTGCTGTTTCTAAAGTGCTGTCCACATTATGAAATTTTATTTGACAAAAACATATGACATGCCTAAATATGGTCAGTGATGACATCACATCATGACCATATATAGGCACATCATGACTATATATGGGCATGCAACAGTTTTGTGGCAATATTTCATCATTCCTTCTAAGAAACGTATAGATGATTGAAATATTAACATTTTATTATTATTTATAGTCTTTTAACATCATACTAATATTTTGATTGGAGGTGGTCTTTAATTAGAGAGAGACTGTTAATAGAAAAAAAAAAAGAAGAATTTGTTAAGTGCCCACATCTTGTATTGGGCTGTTCAGCCAATGGTGTCCCCTTTGCACTCAATCGATTTTGTGAATTATATATATTTTTATCTATTTATGGGTGGGGGGGGGTTAAACCCCACTTTTATTTCACGATTTTTATCTTCTTATCAGTTCACATCGCAAAATTTTATATATTTATATTGTGTTGAATAAAGTTAAAAAATGCAAGTGATTCAAAGATGACTTTTTTTAAAGAAACTGGGCCTCTCTCATTTCCAAGGTACATTCCAACAAAGTAATCACTTGGTATTTATGTCAATGGCTTTACAATTGTTTATACTGGAGGCGCATTGGAATCAAATCGACGGCATCTATACATAATTACTATTCAATCTGACAGGCTATTAGTTTCTTTATTTAATGATTTCAGCATATGCTTTAAATCAGCAGTAATCGTCACCGCGGCACGTTTACATCAAAATAACAATTTACATCAGAATATTAACAATTAAATACAGATGAAATATAAGAAATACATCCCAACAAAGACACATTAGGAGCCGTTTTACACATTTTGCAGGTAATATGGCAACAAACATAATTGTTAAAATCAGGAAAAACAATTTTAAATGTGTGTCTAGCATCCTGTGTCAATTTATAAGCTTTATCTTTTATTTTAACTCATATGACCGGCTCCGGCAAAACCCGTTATTTGTTGCAATTTCTAATATTTTCAGGTTTTCATAAAAATAATCACTAAATCTAACTAAAAAGTATATTAATATTATTGTTAAAATACAAATCTTAAAAAAACATTGTTTTAGTATCTTTTTAAAGCTGTTTTCTCAAAAACTACATGGCTAATATCCAATGAATGAATTAAATCTTCATAGCTTCGCATATTACTCAACCAGTTTCCACTGTTTTGAATAACTCATGTGCATCTAAAAACACTAAAAACTAAATTTAAAATTTTTCCTACAAACAGCTGGTTTTGGCCTGAGCCAGTCACATATCCTTGAGTATTAGGCCTATATTATGAATTTCTTTCTCTTCAATGTTGTATAGACTTTATAGTATTCTATTAACTTAGATTCTATACAAGAATATAATTCTAGGTTTTAAGAAATGATATGATGTATATTGTTATTTTAAAAATGTATTGATTGATTTTATTTGGCTTGTTGTTTCTGAGTTTTCCCCATGTCTGGAGCTGTATTTACAGTTGCAAAATGCCATTTATTAAAATGTGCCTCATTGTGCAAATCACTTTCATTGGTTTTGATCAAAATAGTAGCGAATTATCAATTAATCTGAACTTCTCTGAAAAGTAATCAATGCGCTTATAATTAAAGAATTATTCTTTGTGGGCAGTGGCATATCCAGAGGTAACATGGGGGCGGGGGAATGATGTGGGTGCGAAAATAAAATGAAAAGTCCAAAGGTAAGGGAAGCATCGCTGTAATTTTGAAAATATAAGATGATTTTAACACTGAGTGTATATTTTCTTGCTGAAGCAAATTCCTATCGGGGTTGCCTGGGGGAAGTGGGGGCACAAGCTGTGGGGTATGCTCTTGCATGCCGCCTGCCCTTATATATACTAATGCTTGTGGGTATTACAGAATAGAATTAGCTTCATTTGATAAGTGACAGTTGAGTTTTCTGATCTGACAGAATAAGTTGTTTGAGATTATTTTGGATTTGTTGCGACAATTCCATGTCCAATTTTAAGAAATTACACCAATGTATTTGAGTTTGATGCCCCTTAAACAAGCTCATAATTATTGTCCATTTTGTGCCCTTACAGGCCTTTAAACCAGGGTTAGAACTGTGACCTACTTCAACACTTTCAACACAACTATCCACCCACCAGCTGTTTCAAACTGATGTATCACACAGCAACCCAAAGCATTAAACAACTATCTTCTTATTTCACATCAAAATGTGCTTTAATACTATTATTATCCTGTATTTGTGTGTTTGTGGTTATAGTATGACTAAAGGACTTTAGCAGATGAATCGATAAAGAGGTGGTTTGTCTATCAGAGATTGTTCCAGCCAACTGAAGTTGATCTGTTTCACCTTCATAGACTTTTTAATCACAGGGTTTATCTATAAAATTTAATCTTTGATATTTTATTTTTAAAGGCTTTGCAGGGAACTGGTCCGGGTGGTAGAATTACTAAGTCAGATGTGGAGGGTTATGTACCTCAGCAAATACCAGTCAGCACCACAGCCCAAGCAACACCGATGCCAATCACTACAGCTGACTATACAGACATCCCACTTTCCAACATCCGAAAGGTATCATGACACAATTGTGAAAATGGGATATAGATTTTAATAATAATAAATAATGGTAATGATAATATATTGATAAGAATTATTTGTGCTAATTAATAATAATATTTAGCTTTAATTATACAGAAGCCTTAATGCTGGCACATGCTTTGGCGACAGTCACCTGCCGGCGGTTGTCAGCCGACGTGATTTCATAAAGAACTCAAAGCAATGAGGCGCTTGCTACAAATTGTTTCTAATGAGAATCTGCTCAGGCTGCCATCGGCAGTCTGCAGACCATGTCACGTTAAACGCACACAGAGAGCTTAGATGGATTTTTCGGTTCTCGGTCATACTGTACAAACGTTGTACGCCACTGTGTGTTCCCAAGTTAAAGCACTTTCAATTTCTCTGTTCATTGGACACTTCATAGTGTGAAATATCCTTCGCTCTCTGTTAAGAGAGTGGAGGATATGTTAATTTTACATAGTGATTATAGATTTATGATGTTAAATGGATTAGGATTTACATAACTGTGAGTCAGTATTTTGCATCATAAAGCTGTGAAATTGTTAATGAAATCAATATTATAAACCTACGCTTTGTATTTTGTTACAATTAATGACCCAGTTCAACTGGGGTTAATTATAAAGATGAATGAATGTTTGTTTGTCTCCAAATGAGAATTGTATGACAATCCAAATAAATTATCC